AGATACAAAAAAGAAATGATGTTTGTGAAAAAGGCATCGGTCTAAAATTGTTCTGGCTTGGCGGTAGTTTGGTCCCAAAGTTTGTTAAAAAGTAAATTTTGATGAACCTTTTTACGTCACCAGAAGCACGACGGCAACCACTGTGTTGGTGACATCACGTGCAAAAATGGTTGCTGTAGGAACAATCCGTGTCTGAATGGAGGAGCCTGCACTGATGAAATCTGTGAACCCATCAGCGTTCGATACAAGTGTTCTTGTGCGAACCCGTTTGTTGGAAAACACTGCGAGATTCAGCTGAGAAGCTGTCAAGACTAGAAAGCAGCTGGAGTGGACAAGTCTGGATTGCACAAAATTATCGACAATACCAATCAAACCCTTCAAGTGTTCTGTGATTTTAATTCGGAGCCTGGATTCGCCTGGAATTTGATCGAGTCGCTTAGTTTGTCTAACGAGCACCTTTTTCAGGTAAATATCCTAAATAAATTAGAAGAGAATCTTCTGCCTGACTTATAACTTAACACTAAGAGGCCTCTCTGCAAAAACATCATTGTGAGCAGGGGTAACATCCGAGAAAGTTTTCCAAAAGGAATGCTAAGTCAGTCAGTCGACAAACGATGAATATCATAAGTCGGTCATAAATCACACAAAACATCAGGTTAAAAAACTATGTTTAGCTTACACATGGTTTAGCAACTATGTCAATTTCGATTTTTGGACTAATTTTTGGTGATGTCGGCTGAAGGCAGTAAGCGATTATAACAATTGCAAGAAAGATTTGAGGAAACTTAAAAAAAAGCAACACAGACGGCACGGTATATACGGATTACCTGCGAGCCTCATTTGAAGACTTCGACCTCGTCAGAGTCACACCCACGTTGGTAAGTAACTGCCAAAAGTACGAGCTTGTCAACATCCGGGGAAACGAATGTGCTAATTGCATGGCAGCGACTTGGTATCTAAAAGGCTCTCTCGCTCTACACATCGACAGTTCAATAAGCCTTGGTTGCGATTTCGATGGAAATCAGAGTGGTGATGGCAAAAGCGCTAATGAACTCATACATCAGTCCTGTAAAATTTTGAGTTTTCAAATCCGCGTTGCACAAAAGG